TGATCAGTGCGTTAACGGTGAACCACTAGATCATTGTTTCCACCCCAGATCAGACCATCTTCATCTGAAGGGCCCAAACGAGAACGAAACCGGTCATGGGGTGTCTGTATTGGGAGCAGCAACACCAAAACACCTCCATGTTGGATACTGTCCCTGTGATTAGAATAACTGAGGGCTCCGTCGAAGTGAACCGAGGTCTCCGTAGTGATGGCCTGTCGCAATCTGGACAAGCGGGGGTTACTCCAAGTCCAACTTTGCAAGGTTGTGTTATTAGGGTTCGCAAATTCATCCAGCTAAGTCACCCACTTTTAGCAGTGAGAGGTCAATTAGACCAGCTGCATGTTACAGGCACTCTATTCATGTCCTCATACATATGATGTTGTCCAAGGTTACAGTAACTCCGGATGCACTTTCTACTTGCAAGTGCAATACCATTTTCCAATTCCTTTTATGCCATTGCGGGTTTTACAATGGAAGCTAACAGAGGAACTTAAACTATTATCCTTTTGGAACTGATCAGATCCGATTGGGTCGTTGAGGCCGCATCACAGAGAACAGAGAATTGCAAAAACGAATACTTACGCAAACCTAACCTTGCAAAAACAGACATCATACGCGGCGCTTACAACATTATATCTATTAGTAGCGGTGTTGTTGCCGTGTACCAAAACAAACGACCTTCTTGACGCGGACTCAGACGATCAAAATGCTGGGGGACCGATTGGAGGGTAACAGAACGTCGTCAGTCTATCAGGGAAGCTGCGTGGAAAAGTAATACTATCCGGGGAGACCCACGGTATAGTCTGTTCGGTTCGGGACCAACAAAGTTTCTTTATTGCTGGGATCTAGTCCACTCATTTCAACTGGTTACAGCCATCACTTCCTCCTTATGGCGAACCTCCGCCTCCTACTTGTTATATCCTCCGCACGCATCGTTGCTATCGGTTGCTCTCAATGGTTGGTCGAGTGTATCCTTCTTGTCGCAACAAAGTGGAGGTCGACTAACGGCAACGTTAACGTGTGCAATGCGGTATAACTTCATATTGCAACAATAACAAATCGATATGAGAGCACAATCTTTGTTGTACGTAACCACCGTTAACCAAGCTGTTACGAAGAGAAGCATACACCAAGCAAGTTTCTTACCACAACTCACCATAAATGGGAAATTACTGCCGGTCACATTTGTCATTTCGTGTCAACTTTATGGATCTTGGCTGCCGGTTTGACCCCATATCTTCGCCTTCGTAAACACTATTTTGACTAACATGGAACTGTTCTAGGGCACGAATTGCTTGATTCCGGTTACCTTACTTTGCTTGCAGTTATTGGTGGGCGCACCGAAAAAGGTATTTCTATGCGATTTATCAACCTTTCGACAAACCTCTTCACTCTTCTATTTGGCTCAGGTCCGTTACTGTACATCGCTCATGACCCACTCTCCGCTCGCTCTGTTGGGCCTGCCTTGCGTCGACTGACCGCGTCCATGATACCTGTGGCCGTTTCTGTCCTTGCTCGTTCTTGTGGCTTTCCTATCTTCTGCGGGAAACTTACCATCCGTGTCACCATAATATGTATATGCTTTTTCCTGTTTATCTTCCAACCAACACAGATATCTTAACAACTTCTACTAATTATTACCAATACATCCGATCGGGATTCGTTGAGAAGTAACCATAATTAATCCGTTGGCGTGGATATCTTAAAGTTTGCCTCAACTGAATAAAAGCTTTAAGCCGGGGAAAGTTAGAAAATCACCCGGGGGACCTATATTCCAAGTTCCGTATTGGACGCGGTAGTGATTGGAAACTCAGCCCAGTATAGCACGGTCTCGAACTCAAAATATCGCTGAATCATCTCTCTGATTTATAAATTCCGACCACGATCTGTGGTGATTTCCAATATTTTCAATCATTTTTGAGTTACTTTTTCTATATCCAACTTCTTATACTTTTCATCACGTAGGAGCTAAAGGTTAGGTGGCTATTCATACCAGACCTCATTACCTGAGACTAACCAAGATAAACCACCCGTTTAATTAGATATCCCTGACAGTACAAGAGTTGGAGCTTGACTTGGTTAATCAATCTCTAGTGGTCACTAAAATGTCACGGAAGTAGAAAAGTAGAAAAGGGCGCATGTTGGCAATGTCATGCTTCTGCATATGTTGCTTGTTATGATTAGAGCAGATTCAGGATCAACGCAGGCTTAGGGTAATTAAAATCCTCGATATCAGTCTTGTCATTTGCTTTTGGCACATTGCTACCCAGTTGAATGTAGAAGTAGAGATGGTTCCGTGAAAATACGGCAATTGTACATGGCATTTGCTTGGTGGATGATTTGAACGTAAGTGTCTCAATCATACTCAGTTAGATCTACTCTGATATGCGTTTGGTCGTTTCGAAACAAGTTTTCAACGTGCATTGTATTGGCTCTCTAATGGGCTCGATAGAGTATCTAAATGTTACAAAATAGGATACCAATCCCGTGCACCCTAATGGCCGACAGCACTTTTTGGATAGTGATAAAACAGTGCGGTTCAGGTAGAGAACTGGGAGTTGCAGTTTGCCTCGTACAATGATTTCGAATCTGATCTGCGCATCTTAGGACTAACCATCCCTTAGCCTGAGGAACGGGATTGCTACTATATGTAGGATTTTGAATCTGCTCCTCTTTCTATTAAGGATTGGGTAACAAGATATTTCGTGCACAATTATTCTTGCTTAAGAACCGATTGGCTATACTCGTTTCATGGATACATCAATGTGGCTATAAAACTGTAGTCGGACGCCACATAGTTTGTACAGAGATATGAACAACCCAGTTGGTAAGCGTCCATCAGTTTAAGCCCCAGCCGAGCAAAAGAAATGCTTTCGATATTCGCTCAGCATTACAAAATACAGTTTATTATTTCACTTGCATTCGCTGAGGCTCCCGTTGTGTTGGGGCTACCTCAACCTACCGGATTGTAGTACGGTGCTCTTCAAACAAAAGGAGTATTTCTGTGTAAAATGTTTAAGCGAAGGAGCTACCAACCCCACAATTCTCCTACGAAAGGACAATTTATATATTGAATTAGTATGCTGCATTAATATACTATCTTTCTCTACACCTGACTTTATAGAAATGCATATATCGCTAACATAGCAAGGTTTTATAAGCCAACTGATAACATCATATTACTCAAATATATCTAGGCGCACCCGTGATACTTGGATGTCAGTGTTACCTCAGAATTGTTCCACAAAGGTCAGAGCGTGTGCACAAGGAAAGAGCATAACACAGCCAGGCGATTAAAAGTGACGAGCGTACTGACAGCTGGTGCATGTGATGAAAGCTGGTGGACAGGACGAAGGCAATCTGCGTGACGGCTACTGTCAGGAAGATAAAAGTAGCTGATCGTAATAGCTCGTGCCGGATGTGAAATGCATAATTGGCCCACCACAACGTGCGAAACGCAGCTTATTTCCAGACAATGTAACTGTGTACTGGTCTCTATAACTGCAAGCGAACTGTATGCGCTTTAGCGAGTTTAGTTTAGATGGTTCAGCTTCATTGGTGGTTGCTCAGCGGAAGAGGCGAAAGAACAGGGAGCCGGCTCACGGAAAGCGAAGTAGGTGACGCCAACGTTTGTTGACCATAACTGCGTGCATCGAATGGGCAATGAAGTAGTGGGGAATACCAGCTTGAACGTGGCTCATCACTTTCTCTCACAAGGCTGCTGTGGATTGCACCGAGCACCTATGCGTGGACATCTAGTGCGGGCCAGTTAACTTAAGCCGTTGAGTAGGGCAGACAACAGCAACTAGCCAGTGAGAATGAAATGCAACAGCATAATGGTCCAAGCTTATTTGGGTTGTAAGCAACTTCCTTGTTCAGAGTTAATCTTGGCTCTCACAGGGCTGTTCGGTACCCATGAGGGCTAGAGTAATATCTCCAGGATTTATCCCAAGGGACGTTACAGATTTTATGAGATAATTCAGAACCCCACTAATGGACTAGAGGGTTATATTGATGGTACTAGTAATTGAATATGCGGTCTAGTTTGGACACTTTAAACTAATTAAGTATGAATTGAGCTTGGTGATTGAAGTCAGCCGGTCAATAGCTATGAAGACGGAACTGACAGGGTATATTTGTCAGGCGCGCAGCGTGCAGTCTTCTGTCAGCCCATGAAGGTATTATGAAAAGTTAGAGTTACAGTAAAGATGCCATTGCCAACTAGGACTGATATCTCAGCATGGCGTACATTGAGACGCTCGGGCCCTTTCCTTCGGGGGCACCAGCTGAGGTGGCGGTCTAAACGGTAACTATTATATACCTCTTTTCCCATAGTGGTCCATAGGCCCAATGTCTGCAATCGCTGTAATTAGCTGCAGATATTTGGGGCCTGGTGAGGATTTTGTTGGTTACATGGCCATCCGACAATTTAACTAAGCAACTTCCCCATCCTGTCTAAAATGATGCATCCCAAGACAGCCCTAATTACATGCTGAGGTGTAACAGTCTTCTTGGATGTTTTGATGCCCTAAATTTCCGCCTTCGAACACCGCAACCTCCTAGGCTTGCTTGCACTTTCCTAGCATAGACCATCAGACAGCTGTGAAATACACATATGTGATTACTTCAGACAGCTAGGGTAAACAACAACACTGCTGATACCTTAGCCATCTTATTACTCTCACCAGTACTGGACTTCAACGGCTATCTTTCTGATCTGCTTAAATCAAGAAACTTCTTGACTTTTGAATGCATTCACTATCTTCATTTGCTGGCCACCACAACCAATTCCCAGACCAAGATAAAATTTGGAATGTGTTCTTTGCTGTTTAATATGTTGGTAGACTTTCATTTCTTAAGTATGGTCCTTAGATGAAAGCACTATTGAACTGTTTACAACTCCTTTCATTATAAATTGCTCATTCCATTCCAAGCATATTGCAGAATATCTAAGTCAAAACAACTCAAATTATAAGTTGTGCCAACAGAGTATGGTTTACCCGGTTCACGCTTCGCCGATATTCCTCGCATACTATGGTTGCTTGTTTTGTCAGGTGTGCAGCATTCGAGACCAATTGAACATTAGTATTCCATTGAGAATGTTCAAGATGTGCCCCGAGACTTAAAAGTCCGCGTCGCAGTTGGACTAAATTGCTCTGACACGCAAATGAAAGTGCGTCGATACTCTTCCTCGAAGGTAACATGTTCAGATCCGATAGACGTAGCTTGCCTGCTAAATGTTCTTTATTGTGTTGGTCCAACCTCCATATTAATAAAAGCAGCATACTGATTGCAAAGAGCGCTCCGCAGCGCGCCTTTAGCTTTTTTCTCACCATGACTTCGTGGGTTGACTCCGACAGCTGCGAAGTAAAAAGAGTTCATTACCACGATATCACTAGTCACAATCAAGTCCAGCGTCTAAGACATTACATAATGGCACTAATGCAGAATGATGAACTTCTCACGAAGTGATACGCAGAGCTGAGGTAGGCAAGTGGAACGTGTTAGGGCGAAAAATTTGGCAATGTTCTTGCATGGAACCGTGCTACTGCGAAGCTAGGTCTACGAGGCTCGGGATGGTCAATTTAAAACAGATCTATTGAGTTTTATTCATTTGGCTAGACACTAATAATATCCGAGTCAACATGTGTGTCTACGCAACACCCAAAAGAACAGGAATTCATGAGTAGAGGCTGTTTGATGTCATTAATGAAGAGCCTGTCGCACCAGCTTCCAAAGCAGACAGTTCTTCACGTTCCCAGAAAAGCAGTAGACTGCAGTTACTACCTGTTGGGCGTCATCAGTAGTGCGCATCCATTGGACCCATCAGGATTAGAACCCATGACCACTGCGGCCTGCACCGCCAGTCAGCTTATGTCACTAGGCCACGAGGGACAGCGTCCGACCGTCCTGATTTACAAGCCAACTGCGATATATCGCTTCTGGACAATGTAAGTTGACTCTCATCTTGAGACCTTCAGAGCCAACATAATTTGTTGTATACTATGCAGATAGCATTTTAACGACGATCGATAATCGAATAAGAGCAATGTGATGTTCCGCATCCGTTTATTTGCAGACCTGAGTCGAACAGCCCTAAGGTGTAAAACACTTCTGTCCTAGGAGACGTAGTGGATAATTTGCATCAAAAATATCACGCGATTTGTCTTAAACCTTGATCGTAGTTTAGACTAGGAGAAATTCTACTTCAAGCTCTTAAAAAACTGCTGGGGGAGATCTTTCACAAAGCATCAAGCGTTCATACTTATTATCTTGCCAAGACGTCTCCTGAGTCTCGGACATTTTCTTTCTAGCTTTGCCTTATTTGTTTAAGTGCATTTAAGAAGAGACTGTAGAAGGTCTTGCGTCAAGAATGAAACCTTAGCATAATGAAAACCCACAGAAACCGATTTTTATTCAGTGCCATCTGAAATGATGATGTATCTGATTTCGGTGATTAATTATTCTGGTATCAGTGAAGTGAACCATTTGGTTTACGCAAAATCTGGAGGGCAAATAAAAATGATTACAACAGCTTCAAGCAACCTCATCAAACGCAAGTGGCATACTATTTTTTATGTTCCTTGTATTTTTGTATCCTTAGTTGTATTAAAAATATTTTACCCTCACTATTTTTGAACTCTACACACTGATATTATTAGCCGTATTAGTTTTCCACGGAGTTGTGATGGGGTTGTTACGAATTCATGCTTTTTGGCCATGCTCCTATTAGTGGATCTCGTGAGAAATTGGGAAGAGCTCGTTATTATTACTATTACTACAGTTCTTATCGCGATATCTTCCGGTTCTGTCAAATTTATCCTGTTTCTCTCGATCATGCTGCGTCCATTTTCAACGGTTTGATTCGTGCGGACCACAACGGATAAGCTACACTATTCTCTCGACGAGTTTGCTCTGTTTCTCTACATCATGGACTTGCATTTCCATCAATGCGTGCATCCATGGCTAGTAAAACAACCGTCTGGAAGTTCCGAGGTCTAATCTCCGGTGAAATTACGCTCCGATTAACTGACGTTCCAGTGATCACTTAGTGAAACTGAGCGCTTCTGTCTCGCATCGCTGCCACTTAATTCGGCTGGTGAAGAAACTAAGGTGACGATCGACCATGTATCGCCATCACGGTTACGGAACATTACCACCACTTTCGGCGAATTTGGATTGCATCAAATGAGAGCCAAAAATGTCACTGTCTTTCGGTTTCGATTCAACAACTGCGTTTCGAACAAAAAACTCAAACGGTTTACCCAACGTGGTGTCCATCTACAGAAACATGTTACTTTGCACCAAGCTGTTCATCAGTTTATGTATGGTAATCATGCGTGGCCCAGTGCAGGTTGGCTTACATTGGCAAGTAAGTTTATAGTACTGTGGGCTTACGTCCGTAACTCGAGCCATTGAATAGAAAGTTATTCCAGCCGTGCCCGATTGAGCTGAGAACGGCCATCCAGACAGAATAGCAATACACAACATTTTTACCTAGTATAAAACATGATCATTGTGGCCTATGACGGGAGCGGCGTGGGTATGGCCGAGTAAAGTGAGCGGACAGCGTACGCCAACTAATCGAACTGAACGGATGGTGACTGTGGGGTTTTTGAGTAACTCCGGTGTGTTTTGGATTGCGACACACAATCTTAATTGTGACTTCGGTTGAATTGGAAGTCAGCAAGTGACATTCCGTTCACTGCGACCGTATCCGACCGAAGTGACTGGTTTCCGTATTGTTCCCCATTCCCGCACTCCAAGGTGCGTTTCCTCCTAGTTTTGACTCATTCGAATGAATGTGTGCCGCAATCAAAGGCACACGGTGGGTACTTCAAAATTTAACAATCAACTCCTAACAGCTGTTTCAAGCACTGTTCGCGGAGCGTGATGTCCTACTGATCACGATGACAGCCGCCAAACACTATGTGCCGGGTCCCACTCCCAATTCAGGTTATCTCTACCTGATGAGTCCAAATCAGGATGGAATGCGCCATGAAGTGCAGGAATGGGAGAGAGCAAACCTGAATGGATGGTACACGATGAAAAGCGACTAAAATATAGTGGCGCTTAAAGTTTATATGCGATGCAAGTGCTTTATCGATTTAGGAACCACCCGTCTCGGCCACTTTCGGAATTTATCCTGATTCCCAGCAGTCCATAGGGCAATCAACATATGTATAACCTTGGCAACCCCATTTAGCTCATCTTTGGTTTTGTGGTTCTACGAAGTGCGGTGTGATGCCGAATCTCAGGCAAAAACAGCATCCGTTCTCCGAGCAAGCCAGAATGCTCTGACTAGTCTTAAGGTGAATAAAGTTCATTGACTTATGAACTTGCACAATTTTAAACACCAGTCCTAGAGCTTAAGCAATGTAGTCTTGCATGCACGACCACTGTGGGTAATACGTCGACATGTGTGGTTGTACATTATCATGAAAACTGTGCTGCACTGTTATGGTGCTTCCCGAGCTTTTTACTGAGTTTTGTATACTGAATACTGTGTTATAGAGCAATTAGAAATGAATTCTGTACAACTTTTTTGAGATATGGCGAAAAGCTTTATAAAAATTGTCAACCGTGAATAGCGTAATCGTTCTCAGGTAACATGTACCATACCTGATTCACGGTATTGCATCGTAATTGTGCAATCGTTCTCTGAATCAAATAGTGGTAAAATATAAATCTAACAACGTTTTGAACTGCTGCACAGATCTTGCCTCTATCACATGTTCAGGCCAACTGCTCCAAAGATTTACTACTCTCCGTCCGAAGCACAGTGCGTGGGAAACTCGTTTCACATCGGGCACGACAAGCTTGTATTTGTGCCCGCATGTAATGCATCGCCCCCGTAAGTGCGGCATTGGCCTCAGCATGGGGAAGTCACCGAGATGTAGAATACGGTAGGTCATAATGAGGTTGACTCGCACCCGAAGTTAGGACGGGTCTTCATACCCCAAGCCACGTAAACTCGGGATGAGCATGGTAGCAACGTGTTGGACCCGTTCTTTCTTTTGTGCCTCGCCTCGGGTAATCGGAAAGTAGGCGGGTGAACCGTACTCTAGCATTGATCTTATGATGAGAGAAAAGAGGCGAGTGGCAACCTCTTCAGACCATGTGCCGTAGCTAGGTTTGAGCGCCCAAAGCATGCTCAGTCCGTTACGAACAGGCTTGTCCGTGTTGTCCAAGGACTTCAAATCGTAGCGCGAGAGTACACCTAGGTTCTTCACGAAGGGTTGGGATATAGCGGTTGGCCGTCAAGGGTGTACGTTCGGCCATCAGCACCCTTCCCCATTCTCATAAATATAGACTCGGCTGGGTTGACCGGCAGATGAACTGCTGCAGACCATGTGGATAGGCGGTTGAGATCTTGCTGAAGTAGGACACAGTCATCGTGAGCGCCAATTTCTCTTCAAATCTTCATGCCGTCCGCAAACAAGGTACACGTCGACCGGAGAAGCTGAGGTAGATCGTTGATGTGGATAAGGAAGAGAGTGGGCCCCAGCACAGTACCTTGAGGTACGCCACTTGTAGGAGGATACCAGTCAGTTAGATGGTCCTCGACCTGTACGGTCCACTTTGTACGGCATGAGCGAAGCAAAATGGACACTCCGAGTCACAACTGACTGCCATCATAATTAAACAAGCGGCATGCTTCAGTCAACTCCAAAACGTTTAAATGAAAGTTGTCCAGGTGTTTTCGCTTCTAGCAGTCACAGATTCGCCACTCTCTGGAGTGGTCAACTTAGGGTCATGTCCTCAGTGAAGTTAACGGATGATCATGGCTTAACCCGGAGGGACCATAGCTGTATCCAAGATAATCACAGGAACACAAGCAGTAATTTGAATCAAAAGGACACCCTTGATAGCAGCCCCAGGCTTTATTCTTCATTCTACTAGTCAAGTGGCATAGGCTTCAGCCAGTGATCGCAGCGTACCAGGTTTGTTTCACAACTGAGCTATATCTACCGGAAAAGTCTTATCATAGATGTAACTGTTCACTGACTTGAGTGTTGGATGCAAAATTACAGAATTAATACCTAATAGGAACACGGTCCAAGAGTGAGCTTGTAACGTCATGGTTTACTTTAACTTAAGTCGTCATGGTTTCTGTAACTGCCTGTCAGTATCCAGAATCTACGACCAGTCAAGACCTTGGGTACCATAAATCAAAATGAGCTATCGGACCCTTCACATAGCAGTAGAGTGGGCTACTGGACTCACTTTAGTATTCAAGAAACTCGTCGCTCCTCGTTTAGATCTACGTGCTTCTCTCAGTTGGTCCACTAAATGGACAACGTGCAGCTTGAGTTTATTCACACCTACGTATCACTCGTATGATTAAGGTGTGGGTGGGGACCAATAAGAGAAACTGCAGTCTTTACACGTGACAAGTTGATGAAACTACTCAGCCCACCTGTCTATGTGTACACTTCGTGCTCAGTGCAAAGTGTGGCTGGCTTCCAGCTCAGTAGCCCGCCCAGTTTAAGCAATGGGTAAACCGTACATATTTGCCTATTTGTACAGAATCAGCTAGCCTCGCTGCTGGGAGGGTGCAAATGATGTTGTAGTTACGCTTAAGAGATTGAGGGAGGAGACCCTAGACCGGTTAACTTGATATCCGGCGTGACAAATAAGATGAAAAGCGAAACTCAGACATTCGGTGATTCACCATTTGCTAATGTGCTTAACGCCCTGGTGACGATGTTGACTCAATCGCGACTGAACGAAGTACTGCCAAAAATGATAAAATCGAGGTTCTTCTACCATGGTCGAAAGTGAAACTGATTCGCGGGGTTTAATGGAAGCCGCCATTTTTCTAAAGCACTCAGAAAGGTGATAAGTTAAGCCAGGAAAGCAATGGATTATTTCATACCTGTATATGTCGAGAGTATGTTGGTCAAGAGGAACAAATTTGTGAACCACAAGGATTGGTGGGACATGACTCTGAATACGCTGTGGAACGGAGGAAGCTGCCGGTGATTAGTTGCTGACAATCTCAGCAGTTTCGAATTATTATGTGCGGACGGCGTTACATATGCTGTCTCTGACGCCCAGCCATAAGATGTTAGTCACTTTTGTCGTTTTTATCCACGGCTGATCAACGGGATAACGTCTACATGTGAAAAGAGTATCATATGTAAGTGACCCTGAACTAGTTAAGAACCTAGTTTTTAGACACAAAGTTGTTCAATGATAATCATGTCCCATTTTGACTAGGCCATAGCAGCTTCCTGAAATATACTGGCAGGACCAAGTACGTCACAGAAAAACAAATGTCGTCAGGATGCCCTTGAATTTCATGTATGGACGCAAAAAAATTTATGAACATTCCTTTTAATGACAGAAAGTCTGTAAGTAACTATGAATTTGTACGGATAACCTCAACACTACGGCACCTAAAATAAGTATTTTCCTCGGTGTTTTGGTAGTTTTCTCCGACGGAATCAAATAGGATCTTCGGTTCGGTTATGCGATAAGATAAAATTTTGGCGCGTACTGGGTTCGAGAAGTTTTAGGTAGTGGGGAAAAATATCAGCAGAAGCTTAAAATCGGTGCATACACAAGCCTTTTACATGTTGGCTTTAGGATTTCGAAACACCGCCCAGTCTCCCAGTCCCCAGATAACTGCTACATCCTTATGACGGTTGACTCTAATTTCTCCCCGTTTTAGTTTCCTATACCATTGTGCTCACACGGTTTCCGTTGTCATTTTGATCACAGCTTTTCACCCATTATTCTTACTAGCCAGTGCTTTTCAATGCATCCCGGCCACAAGCATCTTAGAATACTTGCGAGCATAACCTATAAACCAAGTAGTGATCCCACAGTCATGGGGAAATAGAGTAATCTTGATGATGTTCTTCAGCACATCCAAATTTAATAGGTTTTTTTTGCTCTTTCGAATTTTGATTTAATTCTTCACTTGTTACACTGAGTAACAAAAAGATGTTTTTGTTAAGGAGGTTATTTAAAGGATAATATGAAAAAGTAGTTTTTCCCAAATTCCCTCTACTTTCTGCGATATAATAATTAATAAGTTATAATAATAATAAACGCTTGTGCAGAGCTTTCCTTATTTATCCACAGATATATAAGTCACTGTCTGCGTTGTCATTTGAACATTTCTTATGCATTCTGCTATGTTTTAGCGAATAAGTTTTGAAGAAAGAAAGGGACAATATTACTCCCCCTGTGAATCAGGCAACTTTTGCTTAATTTGGAGTAAAAATTGGAGATCAGGAAATGTCCAGGGCCCTTCATAATGTAGCAAGAACGACGGGGCAATAAAGCACGATCTGTATTGCACGTCATGATCCGTCTCGCACGCGCTCACGCCCACACACATATAGTCACATTTCTACACCACAACGCATCAGAAATGCGATGCGGTCGACGGACACCTTCGCCCGCCAATTGGCGACAATATGGCAACTCAGCTTCGCCTGTTTTGCTTCGTATCCCTGCTCCTGTACGTCGCTTTCCCACCAGCCTGGAGTTGTTCGAAGGCACTCGACTTGCTTGATCTCCCAGGCGTCACTTGGCTTGGAGTCATTCCTTGGGGCATAACAATCGGCGTCTTTGTCTATATTCTTGGCCTCTCCTCCAATATCGTTTGAGATCTTCCGGGAGCAGACTTTCTTCCCGTCGTCGCCCGCGGTCCCATTTCCACTCGTCCGGTAGGGCCTGCGTTATGCTGACTGATTCCGGTGCCTCTGTCGGATACTCTTTCTTGCTCTTGTCGTTTTCTGCTGTTGCGTGTTGTCGAAGTCCTCCGCGCATCTACACCCGCCCCTCCTCGAAGTTGTTGCTCTCTCGTGTGCCATGGTCTCACCAGGTCTGTATTCATCCAGCGCTTCATCATTCCATTGTCAACTTCGACATTCACTCCTTTTCGGTAAACTGGAGTTTAGGGACCTTTCCAGCGTTCTTTGAACTTGCTTGCGCCGGGCCCTCTGTGTATTGGATGATCATGCTTGCGCACCTTGACTTGATCTCCGATGTTGAATGGTCTCCACTTGTGAGTCGCATATCGGGCGTCGTAGTTTAGCTTGTTCCGTTGTTGCGGTGATCTCGTTCCTCTTCTGGCCGTATCCAGCAATCTTTTTTGATGTGGTGCTGGATGTTGCTGTTCACCCACCTCCGATATACATGTATCGAGTGCAATTCGGGGCTCTCTACTAAACTGTAGCTCAAATGGCGAAACCTTGGTGGATGACTGCATGCTGGCCCTATACGACAGCAGAACCTTAGGTAATGCATCCTCACACGCCAACTTTGTGCACGTTATCCATTCCTTCATGGTTCGGGTGAATCGCTCCGCCATTCCATTGGTTTGGGGATGGCAGGGTGATGTACGCCGTCTCTCGATGCCCCACTTGTTTAATAACGTTCGATATGCCTTCGATTCAAAGCATGGACCCTGATCCCTAATAACATATTGTGGTATCCCATTCCTCGCCGGCACGTTGAATTCGAATGCATGCGCCACAGTCTCGCCTGTCTGGTCTTTCATTGGTACGGCTTCCACCTATCGCGTAAAGTGGTCGATCATAACCAGAACGTAGCTATTTCCCCATCGACTCACCGGTAACGGTCCAAAGACGTCCAATCCCCAGCACTGTAGTGGTTCGTTGACTTCAACTGATTTCATTGGTGGTCTCGGCGCATCCAGCTTGTGATATTTTGACAGTTTGGGCATCTCCGGATATACGCCGCTACATCCTTTCTCATGGTTGGCCAAAATACTCTTCTCCGTAGCAAATCATAAACTCGTTTTTGCCCATATGAGCGTTTTCATGGGTCATTTGGATTACACGTTCTCTGCAAGTTTGTGGAATATAAGGTACTTTCTTCCCGTTTACTGACACAAGCAAATTGCCATTCACGACATACAGTTGGTCCCAGATATTGAGGAGATCATTCATTTCTCCCGATTGTGTGTCTGGCTTGGTGCCTGCTTGCAAATGCTCGCAAAGTAATCGCACCGATTCCCCTGTTTTCTGATTCTCCAGTAGACTCCTATCCTCCACAATGACCGCACACACCGGTATGGCCATTTCTGGCATGAGGGCATCCAAAGTTGGCCGCGACAGCATGTCCGGTAGTATGTTCTTCGTTCCATCTACGTGTTCAATTGTAAACGTAAATTCCTGGAGTCTGTATGCCCATCGTGCGAGACGCCCCCGCGGGACTTGCGAGGTCATCAACCACGACAGCGGCTTGTGGTCCGTGAAGACGCGGAACTCACTAGCTAGGAGATACGTTCTCCATTTCTCCAGAGCCCATACGATAGCGATGCATTCTTTCTCTGTCGTCAAATACTTCTGCTCTGCAGCCGTCAGCACACTACTGGCATACTCTATCACCCCGGCTGGTTGAGACAGTACTGCTCCAATTGCCAAGTTGCTTGCGTCGACCGACACCGTGAACTTTTCACCAGGACTGGGTATTCGTAAATACGCTGGTCCCTCTGTGACGCATGTCTTTAAGTGGCTGAAAGCTTGATCGACTTCCGGTGTCCAAACGAATGGTTCGTCTTTGTGGAGAAGTTTTAATAAAGGACTGATCTTCTCCGCGAAGTGAGGCATGAATCTCGAATCATACGCCACCATTCCCAGGAATGATCGGAGTTGACGCTTGGATTTTGGCACTGCAAAATGCTTGATCGTCTCCCGTTTCTCCGGAAGTTGTTTTACCTGGCCATCTCCCACAATGTGACCCAAACACACAATAGACTTCTGGGCTATTTGTGACTTCTTTCGACTCAGTTTCAAACCCGCCTCGTCCAATCGTTGCAATACAGCCGCGAGTCTAGTAGCATGCTCCTGTTCTGTTTCGGAGTAGATAATGATGTCATCTCCATAGACGACCACCTCTTGAAGATTTTCCAGGATCATGAGTAACAGTCGCCTGAATGTTGCAGGAGCATTGCACAGTCCGAATGGCATCCTCAAAAATTCGTATTGCTGGCCATTCAAACTGAAAGCCGTTTTATGCCGATCTTCTTTTGCAATTGGAAGCTGCCAACATCCAGAACGGAGATCGATAAGAGAAATGTGCTTGGCGCTATGAAGACTGGCGAAAATTTCGTCTATTTGAGGCATCGGAAACGCGTCCTTCACGGTCACTCTGTTTAATTCTCTGAAGTCAATGCAGAATCTAAAGGTACCGTCCGCCTTTTTCGTCAGCAAAACCGGTGATGAGTGCGAACTAGTCGTTCGTCTAATGATTCCTTTAGCCTCCATCTCTGCCACCTGCTTCTGTACCTCCGGCATGGTTTTCT